TTTTTGACATGGTGGCGTTTGGTTATCATTTGGCTTGATGATCTTGGAGGTCTTTTTCAACCTTAATGATTTTATGATTCTGTGAAATTTAAAGGATAAAAAAGAGCCCTATAAAAGCTGAACTCCTTAACTAATTCTGTGAAAAAATACAATTTAAAATTTTGGAGTTTTTTCTGCTGAAAACCCAAAGGACATTTATGCACAGAAAGCAGTAGGAAATCTTCACAGTACAAGTACATATAACATTAACCATGGCCTTTATCTTAGATTTGTGTAAACCTGTCACTGTCTAAACGCTGGAGATCTTTGCATTTGAAGCACTGATCTGATGGATTTTGTCAAGGAAATACATAATTTCCTAATGTTCCTATCAAAATGCTGTCATGACATTCCTGAGGTAGAAGATTATATGAACACATTTGCTCAAAGTATTTCAATATGTTTGTGTAATTTATTTACTATATATAGAGAGAGATTTATATATGCACACATAAATATAAAATGCATAATTTCTCAAGGAATTATAAAGAAAACAAAATATTTTCACTTGAAATTTGTATAAATGAAATTGATTTCTACAGCTTAGCATTCTCAAAATCAATATTGTTGTTGAGAAGTTGTCTGACTCTTCTGACTCTAGCTTTTCTCTGCATCTCTGCATTTATGGCCTTTGCTGAGGAGGAGCCACGTTATTAGGTCTGCAAAATTATTTCTGCTCCTGATGGGGATGGGAGATGTAATGAATCAGAAATGCACCTACACTGCACTCCATTGCACAGGTAAACTAATTTAGTGCATTTGCATTCAAAAATTATTTGAAGTAATATCATGATAATATGACCTGATTCCCTCAAGTGTTAACCCGATAAACCCCACAAAAAATTTATTCCAATTCAATACATGTGACAGTGAAATGTGTTGAGGGAATCTGCTAAGTTTACTTATATCTTGAAGAGTAGCAGTGTTATTTGAACACATATAATTTACATGAGAGAAAATTTCCCTGGGGTCTATCTTGAATGGCTTCTCTTAAGGTCAAAGGAGTAGCTTTCAAGGAATAGTGGGAAGAGGGACCATCTGATTGTTAGGGGAAGATTTCCACAGAGAAACTCCTTGTCAGTTTTTTGGTTAGTTTGCTTTAAGATTTTGTTATTATTTTTTTTCAAAATTTCTTGATTTAATGTAGCTTAAGCTTTTTTTTTGTTGTTGTTGTAACATATGTTCACTCTTAATCATTGCTTGGCGAATGCCAGAACTTAGTGTACCCTGCCTGTCTTTTCCCACCTCTAATGTGCTTTCTCCAAAAAGACCTTTTCTGTGTGGATCCATCACTACATTGCTCTGCCATTTGGAGACTTCAATTGGCAGGAGAAAGGCTTTTTTTTTCCCTTTTACTGGAAAACTATAATTTCTCTCATCTATGTGGGAGAGCAATAGAGAATCTTAAAGGATAAAGATTGGTTAGAGAACAGAAACAACAGTTTTCTCTGAGACTGAGATATTCTAGATGTGACAAAAGTAAAAAGACATACATCCACCAGTAAACAACGACCTGCAAAACCAATTTTTATCAGTGAGCTTCTGAATATACCAAATTCATGAAAAACTATAATTTATTAAAGTTTTGTACTCAGTTGCAACTCAGTACATTAAAATTGCATTTTCTTGAAAGGGATGGAAAAGGAAGGGTTTTTCCCCCTACCTCAAAAAAATGTGTTGTCCAAGCTTTTTGAGTCTTGCCAGCTATGTTTCCTTCCTGCATCTTTTGTCTTCCATCTCACTTTGGGTGCATTATTTATCTCTCCTATCTAGTTTATTTGTATTATATTTTCAACAGCTAGAGAACTAAATAGAGAAGGTAAAACTACTAGTTTAAGAAACAGGAGGAAAGCAATCATAGCTGCAAATGATGGCAGCAATAAATAGAAAGATTCATTCAAATAAATCTCTTCTTTATGGCTTACTGACTGAGACTGTTTTAATGGTATGGAATAAGGGCACAATTTTGTTAGCAGTATATTTATTTGATTGCTGTGTACAATCTCTAAAGATCTCAAGGTTCTTTGAAAAAAACCCTACACTTTATATCTGTTTGAGCAAAATCAGTTTGGATTTTTTGCTGAGTCTATAAATGGTGGGGAAACATCTGTGTACCTAAAACTTATTTTGTTTCTGTTTGCTTCTGAGATGTAATGTCTTTTTTTTTTTTTTTTTTCTTTTTTGTTTTGTTTTCTTTTGTTTTTTTGTTTTTTTTGCAAATCCTCTTTTAGATAAAACAGCTTAATCTGAAAAATATGGTCTGGCTGGGAAACAGAAATTAATGACAAACTGTTACTGAAAGGAAGATTGATTTGACTGAATTATTTAACTGAAAACCTACATTTTAAGTGATTATGTGAGAATATTCCTTTGGAGTTTTCAAGAAGGTTATATATATATATATATGACTTTATGATTAAATAAAGAAAACTTGGGAGGAAAAACTCTTGAAATTTAGAGTAAATTCATGGGGAAAAGCATGGGGTAGACAATTAATTAGTAGTACGCTTATAAAAAATAAAGTATTATGCAGCAGTTAGACTACCATTATATTTTGACAGAAAGAATTTCTGCAGTCTTTATAGGCTAAAATTTCATTTTTTTCTCTGACTTATGAAAAGGCATTCTTCCTGGCACTTTCAAGGCACAGAGGTTTAAAACCGGTTGCCACATACAAACTCAGGCAGTTTTTGAAAGCCTGGGAAAATTATGTGATACTAAAAACCCTGGACTGTGAAAAGCAAGTATTTGTCAAAGTTTTGTTTTCTCCATGTCTGGGAGTCTGAAAATATTATGGATATCTGTGCAGGAATTCCATTCCAATCTTTCAAGAGGCACCTTTTTTCTACCACAGAAAAGTTCTCAAGGTCATATTGCTAACAATGACATGGCAATCTTTAGAGAAAGGCATTTTCACTACAGTAAAACTTGCTGGAAAGCCTTTGAACTTGAAATTCACTCTAAGAACAAGGGCTTCTCAGCAATATGAAGACTTCTAAGTAGTAGGTGGAAAATTGTGTTTAAAAAAAAGAAATAACGTTGTACAAGATAAAAATAATAGCGGGAAACTTGTTCAAAGATGGTGATTTGGAGCCAGGTTTTCCCTGAAAAGAAAATCAATTGACCTGTTTCCAATGTCACAAAAATTGAGTTCGAGGCTCTGACTCAAAGATATGCCCAACCTTGTCCTGTGTCCTGTGTGTCTAAAATTGAAGCCTGATTTTCTGTGTAAAATAAGAGAAGAGAAAATCTTCCTACAGTAATAGACAAGGAACAGAATGTCAAGAAGCCTTTTTGAGCCATAATTTTCCTGATGCATTTTCTGGAGTGGCATTCTTAAAAATACATATCTGTTTCATCTTGAAAGCCAGAGTCTGTTCCCTTTAAATCTGCTTGTTTGGTATCAAAACAGAACAAGTCATCTTTAACTTTAATCCTACAGGTTACATTCCAGTTCTAGTTTGGATTTTTTTCCTTCCCCTATTGCCTTCCTCTGTAGCATAAAAGCTGTCTGTGAATAGGGGTAGATCCCCTCTCTATTATTGGGTAGATTAGAACCCACAATGTGCAAGAACTTTCCTGACTTTAAGAAATGATGACCTAGATATTTAACACATGCAGAGGATAAAGGATTCATTCTGGTACAATGAACACCATTTAACATTCTTCTGTTTTTAAGTGTGAAAAGTTGTATCTCAGAAACAGCATACATTCTTTCTTTTTTTTTTTTTTAATATTCTTTCTTTTTTTTGCTTTTCTTTGATTTTTTTTAAGCTAAATGAAAAACTGTGCTTCACAGTGATAACAGGAAATTTACATTCCTTCCCAGTCCAAAATGTTTTTCATAGTCATTGCAGGTGAAATTTGCTGTTGTGCAGAGAACTGGCACAGGATCCAAGTATTCCTTAAATGTTTCCTGAAAGCATTGTGTTCTAGCCTGGATATTGGCTCTTACATTCTGCTGTTCCTTTAGTGCATCGCAGAAAAAGTGAGTGGCCTCACTGCTGTTCTTGTCTCAGGGTTAGTGTCAGATTAGGATGGGGGTAGAGGAGCCCAAGCAGCTGCTCTTGCAGAGGAATGCTTCAATCAAAATCAGTGCTCAACTGATTGATTGTGCCATGAAGTTTTTGGCAGCTGTGGCAAAGAGTCCTTACAAGTCAATGTAGTGAAATATTGCAGAAACTTGTTGGTTTATGGTATGCTGGATAAAAGACAAAGGAGAAAGGCAGGTGGGAAGGGTTTTTCAAAAAGAATTGGGATTGGAGAACGGCAAGATGGTATGAGACACATAGGCTAGACAGAACAAGTGGTGACATTGTATGGAATACATCACATTTGAAATGCCTTGTACAATACCACCTTTGAAAACAGTGAATCCATCTGCTCAATTCATTGAAGTGACAGAAACAGTCTAAAGTCATCTATACTCTCTGGTTTATTGTGAAAACACATACTGCTTTTGAATATCCTAAGGCATTATTATACCAAATAAAAAATTATTTCAGCATATTTTTTCCTAGGTGTTTTATCACAGTCCTCAGTCCTCATTTCAGCCTCAGATATTAAAAAAATTGAAATTTTGAAAGATATCAAAGGTATCAATTATGAAGCAAAAGGAAAAGTGGTGGTGAAACACCACCACTTATACAAACAGAAAGATAACTTAATAAGATTATTTTTAATATAATGAAATCTGTTATGTGGACACCAATAGATCATGCAAAACTAGGGCTTGTCCTTCCTGAATTTCAGTGGGCAGATAGATATAACATCAGTTTTGCAGAGGTTCAGTGATATGTATATAATGTTTTTTTTCTTTAAAAGTGTTCCAGATTTCAGGACAAGGCAGCAGCTGTCATTATACAGTTTCAACTCCTAACAGTAAAGAAACAAAAATGCTGAGGAAAGTAGGACTCAAAATGTCAGCCCATTCTGACTTTGTCCTCTCCATCTCAACATACCCTTTTTTTCCTTAGCCGCTTGTTTCATCTATTGCTTATCTGCTCTTCCTGAAGTTCACTAATATGAATGTGCTCTGCAATGACCCGATGCCTTAGGGTTCTTCTGGGTACCCAGGAGACTTTTCTGTAAGGCCAAATATGAAGTCAATACATGGTCTCCCAAAGTCTCCTATGTGAACCATGCTATTGTATATGAAATGTGAATTTATCATATCTGCTATTCTGGATGTATATTATCTTCCAGATTAGATAACATATTCTCTATTTACCCTAGTTTTTAAGGCAGAACTTACTGCAGAGCTGGAACAGAGAAAACCCCACTTGCACTATGCTTACAGCTCCATCTTTAATGCACTCTGCATTACTGTGCCTGATGCTGGAACTGCTCACCATTTCATGTACTTCCTTCTCCTGGATGTGTTCTGCAACCATGTCATGCTTACAAAATACATGTAGAATTCGTACGGGCTCTTTCAAAGGCAGCTAATTTTAGCTGTTGGCAATGGAATGTTGGGTTTAATTCTAATTGAATTTGTAGACTTGGTACTTTTCTCCCTCATCCGTGCTGATCTCATTCCCCTCCACTATGGGAAAACCTGCCTTAAACTTAGCAACCAGGAAAAATTTTTAACCTTTAGTTGGTCAAGTACTCAACTGTTATTCCTGCTTTTTTTCCCTTGACTCTTTCTTGACCTTGTCATACCTAAATGTTTTACTCCAGTGGTGGTCCCAAGCAGATACATGTGGAATTTCCTTTTCCCAGTCTGAACAACTCAGCTTGACTTAATGCATAAGAACTGTTGCACAGCAGTGCTCTAATCCAATGGTTTATTCAGCTGCACAGCCACTCTGTCACCTGTAGACTTGTTTCTTTTGCTGCCAGAATTATGCTGATATCAGCTTCAGTTTGTTCAGACAAAAGAAAAGCACACCATCAAAACCAGGTATAGTGGTCACATGGATGCTTGTACATTGGTTATTATTTTATTTTAAATTTTCCCATTTCTCTATAAATATATCTTGCTTGAAAACAGTTAATTTCTTGGATTTAGTTTTATGATTTCCTCATATTACTCCTGAACTGTAACAGCTTCTCTGTTGATTGGAACCCAATATTGTTAATCTTGAATTTATCTTTGTAAGGAATATTAAGCAAAAGATGAACTAGAAGCTCATTTATTTAATTTCTTCCTTCTTCCTCTTCTTTCAGTATTTGTTTTCCTGTCTAATTTTCTTTTCCAGCAGCTACATAAATGTATTATGATAAACCTGCCCTCTGAGCTACATAAACCACTCTGACCCCTTTGTTGTCCTTGTTCTGTGGTGTTCCACTTTTGCAGAAAAATTGCTAGAGCACAAAACCAAAACTGCCAAGCTGATTATTATCTTTTTTGTCTGGTAGTTCTGGGTGGCACTGAACATCTTTGTGCCTCTTTCATGGTCACTGGAGAGCACTGAAGTAGAGCTGTTGACTTTTCTGGTGGATTATTAAGCATCCTCCTAACAATTAAAAAATTAGAAGCAAAGATTTTTCATGAAAACAGTTTTACATACATGTGTCAATTTGTTAAAAATTTGTCTTCTGTCAAGCACTCCTTTGTAAGGTGTGAAACTGTAACTACTGACTGAGATTTGTAAGTCTAACACCTTGAAGTACAATCTGATTAGAAAATGGAAATGATTACATAAATATTTCTGTCTTTGTTCAGTCCTGTCCTGCCCCGACTTGTGTCTCTTTGCATTAAGGGTTGTTGACAAGAGGAAAGAGGGTCTAATGGAAATTAGAACCGACTACTGCTTTTATTCTGTTTAGTTGCTATAAATGTGCCTTCTGCTGTTTCTTTTGAAATTGTTCTTCCTGTACAACAGAAATTATTTCATTTATAGACAAAGAACTATATAATTATGATTAAATAATAATTAGTATTAGAAATTAATGATCATATGTAAATCTCTAATACAAATAGCAGTACCTTGCATTAAAAGCTACATAATTGATCTAAGAAACACATTGCTTTCTGCTTGCAAAGCTGTATTAAAATAGACCTAATCCAAATAATGAGTTGTATCAAAATAGAAAAAAAATACACGAGGCAAGACTGCCAAATTATTTATCTTTCATTAAGGGAGAAAATCACACATAATTATCTATGCTATATGAGCACATTTACTGCAAGTCGGCATGGAATTGAACAACAATAACCATAAGAAATGCAACCCAAAACAAAGCTGAATCTAACTAGCTATTATGAAGTAAATGCTAGAAGAGGGAAAACGGAACAAGGAGAATATTCACAAAATAGTACTACATTCTCCATAGTCAGAAAGGACTGCTCATCATTTCAAAGTACAGAAGCAAAATTATATGCTTGGAACTTATTCAGTGAGTGGCTATCATGTATATCTTTATAGCTTTCCCATAAACAAATAACAATAGAGCCCCTTTTTAAATTAAAGGATGTCGATGCTTTGAAATTAAGTAGGGCTGTGATGCTTTGTGGTTTTATTCAGACATTTTGGAAAGATTAAATAGTAAGCACAGAAGGAAATACAAGCTCTGAATTTGCATTTCAAAACATCCTTTGCTTTTTGTTCCTAGTTAAAATCTGTTCAGTAGTTGACACAACTGAGCAGCATGAGGTGATGTAGTATAATTTCTGAGCTTACCAAGCTGTAATCAGGAATACAGTCACCTTAAGAACTGTCCATTACCTGTGATTAGTATATGTGAATTTCATTTTCTACACCATTACGTGTTCATTGGCAGCTGTAAATATGTAAAAAGCAAGATGTGTTTTGAACATTTTCCGTAAAAGATAAATTACAGGGCTTTATACCCTTCTAGTAGGAGTAAATGCTGTAGCACATAATAATAGGATAAACCCCTCAGTTTGAACACTTTATAGACCAGGATGCTTGCTCCATTAGCTTAATATTTTAATATGTCTCTCTGTTTCAAGGTGAGATTGCAGAAATTATTTAAATCCATTCACATATCAAGTAATGAAAAACATTCATTATTATTATCCTGATAGAAACCATAGTAAGCCCTTCTGGAGCTCTGAACCGAAAGACCAGAAATTTAAAATAATTTAGTGAAGTATTTCATTTAGATGAAAACCAAAGAAACTTTAAAATCTTCAAAGTTTAAGAGAGCTATAAAATGTGTTAGCAGAATAAATCTCCACATAATTCAGTGGTGCCTCTTTCTTATAATGACTTAGCATTTCTTAATATAGTTATCTGGGGATGGAATTTTTTTCAAATGATATTCTGGTCTTATTTTCTTTGTTGGGTAGATCCTCATTGAAATAATCATGTCTTTGATGGTTACTGAATATCTAAGATGAGCTTGAAAAAAAACTCTGTATTTTTATATGCTTGTATTTAGTGTTGTTCCACTGTTATTTCCTGAATGTTCTTAATTTTATATTAGGGTTGCTTGCACCTTGGATACATAAAAATCAGGTTGTTGGAACCAAATTCTTTCTTTGAGCAAAACCTGGCAGATATATTTTAAATATTTTTATTGACATTTTGAAAATTCTGCTCATGCAGTAAATTTTAATTATAGACCAAAACCTGCTTCATATTTTTGGAATTGCTTTGTAATATAGAAAAAAGCCTTTTAGTGTTCTTCACATGGTACTCCCCTCACAGTTAACCAGTGCTGAAAAACTGTACTTCTCTGTGGCCAGCCATATATATATGTGTATATATATATAATTTATTTTTTTTTTCCCAGTAGGTTTTTAGAAGTGATCTCTCTAATGCCCTAGGTAGTCAATTTATATATAGTAGCTCAGAATGAAATGAACTAGAAATAATTGAGATATTTAAAATTATCAAAGTATATGAATCATATTGCTAAATTTGGAAGCTTTCAAGAGCGTAAGCCATTCCTAACAATTTGTACACAGCTGAAAGTATTCATGTCAGCTCTCCTGCAGTCAGTTGGGATTCAAAAAGATGATTTGCAGGGAAGAGATAACCCCTGGGAAAGACAAAAAAGGTGGTTTTACATTGCTGTGACTTGGATGATTGTACGATTCACCATCATATTCCCTTGACAACTGCAGCACATACAGTGAGGGTTATGAATAGCTAGTGTCACTGCAGCTGGACTCTAAGAAGGCTTTCCATAGGAGTGGTGTAGGCTTGTTTCTGCTTGCATATTTGTCACAGTTTGTGTTTTGGATTCTCCTAAATCTTTGGGTTTGCATCTGGGTTACTCTGAGTGAAATTCTGCAGACAAAGCCCACGTGAAGCTGATTTTGCTGAACATTTGCACAGGAAGATGAAATTTTATGACTCCATGTATTAATTTTCAGTCTATCTTCAGTGATTTCTCTGAAGAAAGCTGATGAAGGTGCAATTAATATTCTGGTCTACACAGCAGAACAGTTTCTACAATCCTTCAAGGTTCTGGTCGTATGAGGGAATACTTGAAATTTGTATAATGCTTGTAGCTGAAGAGTAACGCCTTTTTCCTTATTTGTTTAATATATTACCAAATTTATATGAATGCATACAATGCCACAAGTCTTTATCAAAAATCAAAATAAAATCTGTTAGTTTTGGCCTCTGACCATAAATAGGAAACTTCAAAATCAATTTCTAGCTAGCAGTTTATGGAAAGAGAGGGGGAAGAATCTTTAATAATTTTCTTCATCTGTCTTCTACAGTCCAGATTTGGGTAGACCTTCCCTCTTCAGTGGTATTTAAATATAACTTCTACAAATTCTGCTGCTTTTTTCAACACATCTATCCTAAATTGCTGCAAGAATGACCTTGTGTCTTGATCAGAAGTCAAACTGTATTCCTTTAGTTTTGTTCCTCTGTAAGGAAAGACAATCTATACACTTTGTATATCTATACACTGCTTTGTACAGTAGGTTCCTTGGAGGACACATAGAAACAGCCTTTAAAATCCTTTATAGCTGCTGATGGTATAACTACATGTGAAATGGGATTAAGGTATGGGGGGAAAGGCTAAGAAGACAACAGATAAACAAACGTGTCTCTCGCTTTGGGTGAATCTTGGCACATCTGTCATCCTGCAGAACCCAGGAAAGTGAGCTGGCTTTTAAAGTGCCTGCTATTGTGGCTTAGTTCTAGTTCCCTTATTCACATGTGAAGATTGTTTACTTCTGAGGATGCAGTAGAGGATCTCTAACACAAAACAGAGAAGTATGTTCTTTCATGTGACTGCTTCACTTCAAACCCACCAGTGCAGCTGCCTTTCAGTCAGTGCTCTCAGTGAACAAATTATCTTGGGCTTGTACAAATACACACAGGGTTCAGAGCAGTTCTGGTGTTAATATGAACCATTTGGAGAAGTTCTTATCAAAACAAAGCTGAAAATTATCTCCACAGTAAAAGCTGACTAAGGTACAATGCTATTTCTTTGTAATTGCTTGTGTATTAGGCAGGGGTTAGGGGTAGGATGGATTGCTGGTTTGGACAGTCAGACCTTAGTCTGAAGATCAGCTTTTCAGCTCAAAATTATATGATTTTAATACACCACAGCCAGGTTTAACATGGTTTGTAATATTTGATTTATGTAAAGAAATATATTTTTAATATCTTAAGTCAGAGTGTATTAGAAAATTAATGCTTATCATGGTTTTAAGTTCCTTTCTGGGAATGATATTTTATTCTCCAAATTTAACACAAAATGTGGAGCCTTTTTCTAATTCAGCATATAAAATGTCATAAGTAGGAACAATCAATCCAAATAAGGCTTTTTGCATTCTTTTGAGTAAAGATGCACTTTCCACATTAGCATGGAACTGCTAATTACTACATGATGTAATTCCAAGAGACTGGCTGACCTTGAATATGGAGTGGCCCTTCTTCATGCAATTTGTACTGGGGGGAACAGACAAATTTTTTAGGTTTTAGTTAATTAATTGGTCAAATTGTTTTTAAGCAGCCATTGAAATTAATTGAACAATGAAACCCATTCCAATCCTCTTCCATCTGCCAAAACACTCAAAAACACATTCTGGAAGGGGTAAATCCCACTGTATTGTCTTTACTCCTATTGCCTCTGGAGAAAAAAGTTTGTAAAGCAGGACCACTTTCTTTCTTTCACCTGTCCTGGATTCTAAGCACTGGGATAAGCTGCTGTTGGTCAGTGTTAATTAAAGATTACTACTGTATTACTAATATACTAATATTACTAATTTTTGAGTATGAAAATGCAATAGATACAGAAGATTATCATTGCACCAGTAATGACAATTAATAATTTAAAAATATATGTTAAAAGGAAAAGATAATTCACAAATATAATAAAGTAAAAAATAGCTTAATTTCACTGTGTTCTTCAGGAAGCAATGACAGGACCTTTGTATTATTGCTAGAAAGGATCCTCTGGTAATACTGCAAACATGAGACTTTTTTAATATTCATTTTTTCAAGAAGCAAGAGACACTCATGTTCTTCCAGACTACCTTTTTGCTGCAGCTGCTGGAGAGCAAGCTAACCACTTGCAAATGATGGTTTCTGAGAGAGTGTTTAGAAACTTGAGAACATATGTAGCAGACACAAATAACTGATAGAAGTTCAAATTGTCTGCAGCAAGGTGATGCTCCTATAAATAAGGACTTAAGTAGATTAAGAAGTACAAAATGTCTTAAATACACAGCAGAATAAAACCTAAAAATATGCAATTGCTGCCATTACCTGTCTGTAACATGCAGTCCAAACAGTAGGATTGACTTGTCTACCAGAAATTTTTGAAGACCCTCTTGGTCTTTTTGATCCTGGAGAGGATAAATTAACCATCTATTAAGGTTTTGTTACAACTGAACTGCCACACTCTAATGTAATGTTGTTCAAGTCAGAGAAGGTTCTAACAACAGAGTTGTCTAGGGCAAGGACATGAATTACACACCACTAATGAAAAGTAGACTACCAGAGGTATAATCTTTTTGTAAATCTTTACATGATGTGGCAGAGAAACAACTAAAAGCTATACTTTGGTCCTGACTTTGTGGGTTTACTGTGTGTCTCTGTCGCAGTTTGCTGTAAGGAAAAAAAAATCTCTTCACAGATAAAAAAAGCAACACCTGTTCTTCAGTGAATAAAAAACCTAAAAATTTGCATTTACAATCAATTAAAAAAAAAAATTAATTTTTGGGAATAGTCAAATTAAGGAAAACAATTCCACACTCAGATGAAACTTTTAATAACAAATATACAGGTTTAGGCTGTTAAATAAATTTCCCTTAAATATGAGTTTTGGTGACAGCAGTGGGATATCCAGGCTGTCAATGCTTCCCTTATGTTTCCAGTATCTATATCTCTGCCCCTTGAACATGTAAGTCCAGCCTTGCTTTTATTACAAAATTATTATAAGAGACTATGTTAAAAGTAAAACTGAACTTCCAAACAACCACAGAGTGTAAGATTTTCATCTGCCCTCTTCCTCACTTCTGGGAAACAGGACTGCTGAAGGAAATACTTCAAAACTTTAAAGCTTAACTACTTGGTTGCGTACTATTAAAGTATTGTAAGGGTTAACCATGTAACTTGACACGTGCATGTATATTCATATTGATGGCAAACACCTCTTTTTGTCCAGGGCTGCAGACACTGCAGAGGTACATAGCCCCAGGAGGATGATTCAGGATGTGAGACTCAGATGTTGAAGTGGCCTCCAAGTTAAGGATGGGAGGACTCTGTAGTCCCTAAAGGAAGTGCTTCCCGAAAGAGAGAAATACTGAAAATACTAGAAAGTATATGAATCAACAATCTGGGTGCCGAAAGGGTCTGTATATAGTAAGGAATGCCTTATGGACCATGCTGGATTCACTTCGAAGGACACTCATCAACAATTTTTTGACTTCACATTTTTATGTGCTCTAGGACAGCTTTCTTCAGGTGGTGCTGAAACAACAGCTGTGATTTTAATATGTTTGAGAACAACAGAATTTTATCAAAAGACTTAAAGCTCAGAAGATGCTTTTGCTTTTTTTTTTGTGTCTGACATCACAAGGCCATCTAGGCTCAGGAAAAAATAAACAAGAAAATTATGATAAAGCCCCTAAGGATATATTATTGCACACTATTGCAAAATTCTTACTCAAGAGGGGAATTTTTGAAACTTCTCAGTAATATTTGGACTTTGTTGTCACAAGAGCCTCACACTATGAAGGTGTTCTGTGGACACTAATGTATTCTGTCACCCTTAGCTTTGCAGGGGTATATTTTGAGTCTGTTGTTATGCTGTTCATTTTCATTAAACTGAGCTGGAAATTAGTAATGCACAAGGCTAACTAAGGATAACATTAAATGCTCATGATATTAAATTTTTCCACTTTATAAATTTTAACTTTTTCACATGGCAGCATTTCAGAATTCCAGGGGAAAAATTTTGCTGTTAAAACAGTTTGAGAATGAACAAATTCTTAAGTCTAATGTTCTCCTCTCTCACTACTTTTGCGTTTGCAAATATTTTATCCATTTATAGGTTTTGCTTTCTTAAATGAAAAAGCACAACCTTTGCAAAACCTCTTCCAATCATCTCCCTTCAAAATAAGGAAGGAATCACCAAACACATCTGGTCTGACGTACCAGATTCCAATTTAATGTCATTCAAATGGAGATAAGTGCTGAAGACAGAAGTGTTTAAAGCAAGAATACAAATTCAGCTTTCCTATACATACATCTGCTTCTGCCTATAAAACCTGAAACAAATCATTAATTATATCCCTTAACTATTCAGAAATGCCACCTTTACTTGAAATAGACTTAAGTTTACTGAGAATAAACACTTTTGAAGTTACAGATTAATTTAGAACTTTCCCCCTCCCATCCTATTTATACATCCATTTAAACTGACATTGCAGCTGAAGCACTCTTATTCAAGCAGGGGTTGACTATGACATTGTTTCTGGAGTTTGCTGATGCTTCAGCTTTTGATGGGATACTATCAGAGAAAAGCTCCATCACATTTGGCATGGAATTTTATAGTAAAAATATGTAACTCCTCTTGGTTTGACGATTTGAAAAATACTTAAATATGTTCAGGAATACAAAAAAACTCGCACAACTTCAATGCTTTCCTTAGAAATTTATGGATTATACTTTATGGATCAGTGACTTTGTTGGGTTGTCTTTTTAGGTTTCTGCAGAAAAATACTGAATGCTGGCTTTCTGCTATCTCTAGTTTCTTTCCATTCAGTCAATGAAAAATGTGTCTGAAGTTCCCTTTGGTCTGACTGACATGCCTTTCTTCACTAACGATTGGTGGTAGCTAATTATCTTAGGTTAGCTGGAAAGGAATATGGTTGGAAATTTGATAGATTTTTAAATAAATGGCATGTTGTTTCCTCTTGTTTTGTGGGATCAGTTCACCTTACTATTCATAATAAAGGAAAATATCACATTGCAAGGGATATTTGAACTCAAGGCTTTAGGTCTTCTTTCTGGAATTTAATGCAGGTTAGAGCGACACAGTGTTACTTGGTATTACAGTCCTGGTTTCCCTGACTCACAGTCAATATCCAAAATTACACAGTGCAAGACTGTATTCTTGTGTGACAGTGAGAAGTCTATGAAGAACTCAGCTAGTATTTAAAGTTAGTTTTATTTCTTGTCAAGTAAGGCTTTCCAGAGAGAGACTTTTCAAATTACCACAAACAGGTATTATAAAGAAGTTGGCACTGTTATTTTAGTTCTTCTCTCACATCTGCTTCTTCACAGAGCCTAATAATAGTAGAGTTTAATTCAGCTTTCTTGTGGCAGTAGAGTTTAATTCATAACTGTAGATGTAGGATTAACTTTGGCAGATGAATGGTGTTTTTAAAAAAATAAATATCTAATGCAGAGATCATTGAAGTGAATGAGAGTTTTTAATTTTTTAATTTAGTGAATGAACTTTCCTGTCTTTTTCCAGGTTTAGAACACAAAACATTAATTTTGAGCAGTATTCCTTGTGAAGAGAAATGAGTGATCTCACAAATTCTAACATCTTGTCTAGGCCCATGTTTAGATTTCACAGCATGCCCATTTAGACATTGCACGTCCATATAATGTCTAAAATTTCTAAATTTGAACCAGGGCTTTGGAGTAAATCTGTGTGACAAATAAGGCATACAGAAACATTTGAAAATATACACTGCTTTTCAAAATTTCTTATGTTCCACTTTTGTTAAATATCCTCCATCAGAATTTTGTCTGTAAAGCAGCTTCATGTAAGTGATCACACTGGAAGGTCTTTTTGATTTTTAACAGTCTGCAAAGCATTAAGCCTTTTTTTTTTTTCCCCCCCTTTAGGAAAAAGATGAAGTTATGTTCCTAAGTTACCTTCAAACATTTCAAGGAGTGGCACTGAAAGCTGCAATGCCAGCTCAGTCACACCTCTGATATTTGCTGTTATCTCCATGCATGTTTACAGCAGCTGACATATGAAAAGCCTGTGAATAATTTGAGATTGCAGGCTATGAAACAAGCCCATTTTGGATCTGAATCTGGCTGTCAAATCACTTTGTTGGGTTAATCTGACACAAAATGAAAGCACACAAATGAAAGCAACTTTTGGCAAGCCTGAAAAGATGGGCACACATCTGCAAGGCGAGTGATTAGCTTAGTGGTGTCCTTTCAAAAATCACCTAGGAACCCCTTCCCCCACCCATACAGAAAGTAGTCCTTTTTGTTCTTCAAATGTTTATTTATAGGATTATAATAGGGAAATGGAGGAGAGAGGGCTTGGGACTTTGATGATAGTGAAAGTCTGTACACCCCAAAGGTGGTAAAGCAGATAAGCATTATAGGATTAAACGGGCATGACAAATTTGTGTTTCAATTGGGGACACCATTTCAGGCAGAGATTTGCCTTTGGCCGCAAAGTAGAAAATTTAGTAAATATATTCTGCAAAGGAAAGAATCAGCAAAGGTGGGAGGTTTTTCACTGACAAATGATTGATTGCCTTTGAAAAACAAAGGAAGGAATGGTGTGCCAGGGGGTGGTACAGCTCCTCTGTAAATGCCTGGTGGTCTTAGGTCTCACACTGTTTCCTTTTACACAGTGCCTCTCAGGCCAGGATGTGCAGAGCACTGCATCAAATGTATGTGGGGGGGTGAGAAGCAGATTCTGTACAGAATTGCTTTCTAGCAGTAAAATGTCCTTTCTCAATATCTTGCTTAGTGCTTGAAAAAAGCAGAGAGGGCAGAACAGGAGGAGGAAGGGCAGGTGCAAACACACTGAAGGTTAAAAAGAAGACCATGAAATTCAAAAAATGAGGGCTGAAAAGATCATATTCGTAACCTCAATTATTCTCAGATTAGTCTTTCCTTTCATGGTAGCTGTGAATTGCTACAGGAGTAGTAAATGTTTTGCCATAAGTAAAAACCAGTGTCCTCCTTCTGAGTTATGTGCATCAAACACCATCCCTGCTGGGGCATTGGGTCCGTGCCACACCAACTGCGGCAGGGAGATGCTGAACCAGAGCACGGTTTGTGAACAAACCTGCCTGTGTTTGATAAGGTTTGATAAGAACTCTTTACTGAAGGTGTGATCAGCTTTTGGATAAACAAGACATACCAGAAATACCCTGTGCTTTATGCCCTCCATTTCCAGTACCTGCTAAGAAAGAATGCAGATATTATGGGCTGCAGCAGCTGTAAATTAATTCAGTGGACAGTATACACTGAGAGGGGACTTACCTTGCCAGCCTTACTGCTGAACTGAACTGGGATGGTTGTCCTTCAGTATAACAGACAGGTGCAATAGGAAAAAGCAAAGCAACAGAGTAGATGTTCTATACACCCCGAGGATGCCTGTCCAGCTTGCTTGGAAATATTGGCAGAAATCTTCCCACATTTGCTCTCCCAGGCTCTGGTTCCACAGCAAAAGAAAGCTTGTTTTACCCCCTAAACAAGTACGGTGTTAGCAAAGAATAAAAAAATAAATAAATCAATAAATAAATCACTGAATTAATTTTAGTCTGACTTATGTGAGTCCATGTGAAACTAAGTCCAAAATTACAGTAGTAAGCAGGCTTTTCTGTCTTACTCATAAGTTGTTCATACATTTTGTACCTTGTTGAACAAAACATTTAATGTTAATATTAAATTCTACAATTATTTTCTAGATTTTCAGTTAATGGAGGTAGTGGAAAAAGGAAATAGGTTTAGCTGACTGCACACCAATTGTATGTAAGAATCAGATGAATTTTTATTTCAACAGATTTAGTTATTACAGCACATTACCTCACCACACTATTACAACTGTAAACCTTCATCATTCTCTGGTTTATATGATACATCATTTTGCTGACAAAGACATACAGTAACTCCAGATTCACTTGAAGATGGTATTCACTGGAAATGGTACAGCTGAAACCATGATCAGGAGAAGCAAATAACAATGTGTCCATTGTTACACTGGCTACAGCACAAAACCACACCTAAAGCATTAAACAGAAAAGAATATACCTCTCCAAACACACTAGGTAATAGAACACACCAGAAATAATTGGGCAGGTGTGTCTCAGGAGAGGCATGTGATTTTTTTAATCAGTTCTTCCTTCAGATGTTTTTCTGCTTGCTTTTCTTTGTTCAGTGTGCTGGGTGTCTTGCTGTCTCCTGATTCATTTCACTTGCTTTTACTGGGTGAAATGGGGCGGGGAAAGAAATGAGGATAAAATAAGCGGCTTTACTTTGCATGAGTATTGCTTTAGGTCTTGGCAGGGGGTCTTACTAGCTTTCTGAGAGTTTTTAAGCTTCTCCTCACATTATCTTCTAAAGAGGAAATGTGTGCAAAAACTATTACAGACAACAACAAGGGAGAGAAAAATTTCAGAACAATGTATTTTGATTTATGTTGTTTCCAGCCTTCCTGAGGAGATATGCTAGTGGTTGTTTGGAATTTGTTTTTCCAGAGCAGACTGAAATATCTGGACTGTGAGCCCTAAAACATGGTCAATGTCATCTGAACTTTACATGCCTATGTGTCAATCAGGTTCACTTACATTTTTGAGAATTTTATCATTAACTCAGAGTCTGTCAGAATAAATATCAGGCAGTGCTGTGGACGTGTAATTGAAAGAGAAATGGAGACAACAAATGGCAGGATAACTTTATCACAAAAGGTAAACTAGTTACATCTAGGACCCCAAGAGAACTTAATTCCATCTCATGGTTTTAAAGATAAAAAAGGTTTCTCTGCTTTTAATGGAAAGATTGATATTCTATTTTGTGGCCAGTGATGTTATTAGTAAAAATAAGTATTTAAAATTCTATATCTATGAATTTTCTTTGAAAAGTTATTATCTTGGCTAATTTTACAAAGGCTTTATAAAATTATCTTTGAGCACCTTCATACACTTCAAACAAGTCAATTTGCTTTTTCCTCAAAACTAGTGTTTCAGGGTGTATTCTGAAACTCCATTTTGCAAGCAACAGGGTTTATTGGAAACCTGCTTTTGGAAAAACAATCTACAAATCACAGGCCCTATTCCCTTGGAGACCCTGATCTGAGCTGAGTTGACATGGATAGCTCCATGTCAAAATTCAGTATCTAACTGGCTATAGTGTGCTTTCAGCTCTTAACCTGAGACAGCACTAAGAAGCTGTGTGCAGCTTTATATGTGAATAGGATAAATAAATTAGTGCACTAAGGCATACCTGTCAGCTCTTGAAAGCTCTACTGTAAACAGAGGCACTTGTCGAGGAAGAATACATTTTAAAATGCTCTTAGAAGTTGCTGGACTGGAAAGGCTTCACAAAGCAAGAGAATGGAAAGCCTGGGAGGGGTGAAACACAAACAGGTGTCACTTTCATATGCCTTCAAACTCACACTTCAGTAACCTTGTTTTTCTGATAAGCCTGTGACCCTAATGCAAATAAAAAGCTAGGCTCAGAGTCATATTGTTGACTAATGTCTCATATACAACAGTGAATTTTAGTTTCTTCAATGATAAAAAATTGAGTATCTTTGAAACAAGTGCATAGTCAATCTAGCAATTTATTCTTTTGACTGACTGTAAAGCTAAATCTGTCAACATATATCAACTTACTGCCGGGGAAAGTAGGTGTTAAAAAAATAATAATGTAAGGAAGAAATACAAAATAAGAAAACAAAATTGCAGCAACAGACACCCAGTTATTAACCCACAACAACCCCCCAAGGTTAAAGTGACTTCTGCAACTATACACAGTCAAGAAATTTCCACAAATCTGCTGTGGCCAGTAGAGAGCTGTCAATCATTCTGTCAAAAATCCTCTCAGACCTCGCTTTCATGTCAAAGCTGTAATGCTTTGACCTGCACAAAGGAAGCACGAATATTTGTATACCAGACCTTCTTCTGTGCTGATAGACAGATTGTGCCAGTAGCATTTGATTGAGGACAAAGGATTCCTGCAAGGTCTATCTCCTCTGGAGATAGACTGGGTACCTCCAGAAGCAAAGCTACACTCGCTCCTGGATGGCAGAGCAAAAAGCAGAAAGGATGGAGCATAGAGAAATAAATATAGCCTTAGGGTTGTAATGGACCTAGAATCTGTCATTTATGTAGAGCTTTTTTTCTGCAGACCCTAGCAGTTGTTATTTCAACTTTCAATCTCATTTCAATTTCAAACAGATATATCAGGAATGAATGATAAAAGGTGGAGTATGCCATAGGACAATATTTAGGGTATGTTGGAGAATGCAGATTGGATGCTACTTCACTGACACACAGTCAAAACACCCAAGATTTCTATCCATGAAGGTATGAGGAGGGAACAAAATGGCTTCAGATTTACTTTGTAATCAATTTATTAAATGTCTCTTCTCATAAGGACTGTATAAACAGGGCCAGAAATAGGGCATTCATACTATGAGAGAAAAGGCTGTTTGGGCCCCCTCATACCTGAAAAAATGGAGTAGATAAAAGATATTTATTTTTGTTTTGATGTCCTTCTTCTCTTCCCACACCCCCACTAGATGAACTTTTAAGTTAGAGCACTTAAATTTGCACTTACTGTCATGGCTGCCTCAGGGCTGAATCCTAGGTCTGATAAACCTTCTCCTTATTTTACCATGAGAATATTCCAAATTCAACTAGCAAAGATGTGTTTCACATTTACAAGTCTGAAGTTCATAGAATAAGTGACAAAATATTTTCATTTTAAAATTATTTTTGACCCTGCAAGCCTGAGTTTCTAAGTGAAACTAATATGATAACTGCAAGCATCTTTCTGGGTCTTTTTAAAGAAAGAAATAATTCTACTAGAATGAAGGCTTGGATTGTAACAAAAAGCTTTTCTGTTGATTTTAACTGCTTGTGTTGAATATGGTGTAGTAACCTTAAAAACAAGACTTGAAAAGTATAATGATAGAAACACAGTTTGAAGAGAGCAAAATGTGCTTTTGAGAGTTTCTTCTTGTTGTATATCTGATTTGTATTGAAGTCAACATGAGACGATGTTTGCAGATGCCAGACCAGTGAACATCATTGTATGAAAATCTAAGACTATGTAATGCCAGTTAATAAGATGGGAACAGTACATTGTGTTAGACTTTCTCCCAGGGAAAGTCACATCACATCTCGTTAGTGTCTGGGAGAATGTTGCACTACCATGATCTGCACACTCTTCTATGCCCAGGCCACCTTTTCCATCACAGAAAAATGTTCCTTCTCACCAATCTGCTTGCACAATGTGTGCTATTTAGCACCAAATCAATCACCACAGCAAGAAACCTGAAGTACACGTAATTTGCTGAGTGAAAGCTCAAAAGAAAAGAAAGAGTCAGCCAAATTACACAAAAATAGAGTGTGGAGAAAATCTGCTCCAGAGGAAATCTCCTGTCCCAGACAGCAGGAAAACTCTACCTACCATAAGTTTTTTGTTCTCTGTACATTATTAAGGCTAGTTTATCATACTTATGCCTAGTACATATATATTTTTTTCTTTCCATCAGTACTGTCACATAGGAAATATCTCAGTTTGCATAGTGTTTGTTGATAGTGCAAAGTGTTTGGTGTTGCTTGCCATGAATGATGTAGACAGATAGTAAATATCATTAAAACTACAAAATATTGTGTTTGCAAAGATAGCATCTTCATCCAGGCTTATGGTAAAAACCACAGAGACCTTTTTTTCCTCAAAAATTATCTAAATAAATATATACAGAATATAGCAAGATCTTCCAAGTTTTCTTTTCAGAGGAAACTGTATTTCAGGTTGAACTTCTGGAACAGTAGATGTCTTCATAGCTTTGACTTGATGTGACAGGAGTGTGTCCTGGCTCTCTTCTCTTTATGTCATGCAGATGAGGAATGTGGTGGAAAAATACTGACATTTGTCCTATGGGCCTGGATCTGAGCATCACCAAGAAGGAGGAAGGGAAGCGAATGGTGTAGCTCATATGAGGATTCAGAAACCTCAACACAGCACAATATATGGATGTGGGATATTGCATTAGGAACTGAGTTTTATGTCATGTCCCCATCTCAACATTCTTTTCTCTTTATTCTCTTTTTCTCTTTTCAGTCTAATTCTGTTGTCAGGTCCATTTATTCAAAGTTTTCTGGCTTTTTCACATCTAGGTAAGTAATAGGCTGAAGGTTTTCAACCCAGATCAATTATGTATAGCACAATAAATATTGGAATTTTCAGCATGGAAATGTTGTGAACACATGCTTGCTATTACCATTTCTGGGTTAAAACTATTGTGCTAGAGCAGGTTTCCTGGGAATCAGAGTTTTTACATATATATAGAGAGATTTTTTTGCCACTGCTTCAGAAAGGAGATAGTTCTGGAACTACTCTGTTTTCAGGGGCATGTGTCCTCACTTGAATGCAGAATACACTCACTGGGCCTATATTCAAATTCTCTGTGGAATGACTTCTCATCAGATTCTTAATGTATGTAGCATGTCACCTGGTGTGAAACAGTACACTGGATGTGCAGGACTTAGCTCTGAGAGAAATAGAGTTTGGCAAGTCTCATATTCACTGTTTCATGAAGAATATGAATATCTGCTTAATTTATTGCAATTTAGATTTAAAGGTTTAATATTTTTAACATTAAAGAAAGAAAAATCATGTTTGACAACACCAAAAATGAAAACAAAATCCCCTTTGATTGGCTCATTTTAAGTAAGAAGAAACTCCCTCTCAGGGGAAATCTTGAATGCAGACTGTTTGGAGAAAATTTATATCACATAGTTGCACAATTCTCAAAATAAAACCTTGTAACAGTAAGGCTGACAGGCCTTTAACTACAGCACAGCGGTGCTGCCAAACGCAACACACACTGCTGCTTTCCTCTGGCAGCAAAACTGATGTTTTAAATGAGTCTTACAACAGGATTTCTCTACTAATTGCAGAAATAGATAACATGTGCCTTGAGCAGCCATTATTCACTTGACAGTAATTTTTCTTAAACTGTAAGTGGCATTCTGCTTCAATAGTGCTTGAGTGCCTGATATTCCCAAAAGAAATGTTAAAACTCTTCCATTAAGGAAATCACCGACTTGTGGATTCTGGCTTTTAGAACTGAAATTACCTGAGGTGGTGTGTACTTGGCTTCTTTTAATCAGAGGGTCCCATATGCAAAGGCAAAATACTTTCAGAGGCTTTTTTTCTCTCCTTTCAGAGTATTTCCTATCCTATTAGCATACTGCATAATTTAGCCTAGAAAAAGTATTTAAAATATAGGAAACATAAACACCCATGTTATTTTTTAAAAAGGTGAGAGACTGAAAAGTGATTCTTTGATGTGAAATGAATAAAAGTCTACTCTGCAGATAGGATAATTTGATCCTGTTGGATCCCAGGAGAAGCAAGATCAACTACTTTGGCTTCTGAAGGCTCCCCCAGAGGTAGAAGAACTCTGTCTGATACGAAGTGCTGCCTCAGCTCTCAAGAAGCAGATCAGGTTTTCTGCCCTTGATTTCCCGGCCCCTGAGTTGCTACTGCCCAAATGTGATCTACAAGACCAAAGCATTGTGGATCAATTTTTTATCTCCATCTTTTCAACTCCTTTTGCTTCACTGCTTGTGTGACTTGAGCTGTTATATCATATCTGTTAAGAATACAAAATTTGTGTTCACTTGCTTGCTCAGCTAAGAGCCTGAATTTTTAAACAAGTAGATAGAACATAAAAAGCTTTAATGTGCATTAAAATCCTGTTAACAGAGAACCTTTTTAATTCTTGTCTCCCCATTTAAAGAGAGGAAGACTCAATTTGAGGGAGACATAGATCTGAGTATAAATTGCCAATGGTTCTGTGAAGCACTGTACTGCTCTTCTATCAAGGGTATGAGATGCATGTATTAAAATTAATTTAAAATTAATCATAAATGACAGCTCAGTAGATTAGGAACAGAAAACTTGCATAAGAAAATGCTACAGGGGAATAAAAAGTTACATAAAATAAAAGTAATCTGAGTCAGAAACCACTGTCTTTCCATTAAAAAAAATTCTTTATTGGTTGATTTCTTAGCCAATTCAAAATATACATTTATATTAACACTTGAATCATTGCTTAAGATGTAATAGGGAAGGAATTTTATGTATGACAATTAATATAATTTACATGAGGAATTATTAAATTACCTTCACTATAGCTCTAGAGAGAGAGACTGAAACACTTAGGAGTTTTAAGTAGTGAACAGTGAAATGCTGCATTTCAGGGCTTCTGAATGTTATTAATTGGAAATGTAGCCATAGGATTCCATGTAGTACTATCCCTATTTGAAATCAGGACTAAATAAATAATGATTACTTACATGAACAATAGGTTATTAAAAGTGGATTAATTTTTTTTCTATTTCACTTCAAATAAAAGCTTCGTGTTGGAATGGCTCTC